TTTTGATTTTTTCAAGTTAAACACCATCGATAGTACAATTTTATGTTAACAATTCTTCTTGAATTTTAAGTCTTTGCTATCTACAAATTTAAAAAGTTTGTCATTTTATTTCTTCAATCTTCTATTTTTGTTAAAACGTATGTTTTTTGTGTTCTTCAGACTAGACCCATGTCAAAATATGTATATTTTCTTTTCTTTTTTTTTTATTTATCTGAATTTATAAAAAATGATAAGGAATTAGAACAATCTTAGAATTCTTGGGTGGTTTCTTTATTCCCAAATAGTGTTGAAAGTTTCATTTATTTTATCAAATATCATGATTTGAATGATTAAAAAAAATGAGTTTTAAAAAAATAAGAGATTTTTTTTAAAAATTTGAGTAGATATTTGAGTTTGTCCATTGAAATACTTTATACCAAATTAAATTTTTTCACTTAAATTTGAGTGATAGTTAAAAATGCTCTAAATTGGAGATAATTCTGAAAGTACATTATGAGTTCGAATTTTATTTTTTGACAAAGGAGAGGTAATGGTAATTAAAACAATATCGATTTGTATTAAAATGTTATCGTTTCTATTTAACATTCTGCTGTTGACACAGAATCTTCACCGTGCATCATCATGCACTGGTTTTGTTCTTCCACAAACTTCTCTAAACCTTAACCTGTACTCTCGGATGTTTCTCTCTCTACATATACATCCATGTCACTTTCTCTTTCTATATCTACATTTTGTCTCCATCTCTCTTTCTCTCAAATGAATACTTTCGGAACTCAAGAATCAATAATTGGGAACAGCATGAAGAGATTCAGAAAAGGAGGTTACCTAAGTTCAAGCTCTCTGCTTTAAACTGGTTTTAACTCTATCTACAAACTAGTTTTCAGTCAATCTTCCACCATTATCTGCTCAAACACTAGTTCTACTTTCCCTCAATGCCCCTCATCAAACCTCACCACAGGGCCCTTCACCACCTTCCTTTGCTGTCCCATTCTGTAAATTCGCAATTCTCGTCTCTCTCCTCGCCCCCCGACACCCTTTTGGTCGACAAAGCCATCGCCATCCTCAAACGCCACAACCCAATTCACCTCAACTCTTTGTCTTCCCGTTTTACCCCTCAATCAGCCTCCTATCTACTCCTCCGAACCCAGTTCGACAAACCCTTAGCCCTAAAATTCCTCAACTGGGCTAGACACCATCAATTCTTCAACCTCCAATGTAAATGCCTCACCCTCCACATTCTCACTAGATTTAAGCTCTTCAAGACCGCCCAGTCCATCGCTGTGGAGGTAGCCGTGAATTCCGATGATGCCACAGGCAATTTAGTCTTTCAATGCCTTAAAGACTCGTACCAAACTTGCAATTCGAGCTCTTCGGTGTTTGATTTGATGGTAAAGTCGTACTCCCACTTGAAAATGATTGATAGAGCTCTGAATACTATCGATTTAGCAAAATCTCATGGTTTTATGCCCAGTGTTTTGTCTTACAATTCAGTTCTCGATGCAATAATTAGGTGTAGTTCTCATGGGTCTATTGAATTAGCTGAGAAATTGTATTTTGATATGATGAAAAATGGAATTTCGCCTAATGTATTTTCATTTAATATCATAATTCGCGGTTTTTGTGTATTCAAGGAGTTGGAGAAGGGTTTAGAATTTTTTTATGAAATGGAGAGGAAAGGGTGTTCACCAAATGTGGTTACTTATAATACGTTAATCGATGCTTATAGTAAATTGGGCAAGATGGTTGATGCATTTAAATTGTTTAATTCGATGAAGGAAAAGAATTTGGAGCCAAATATGATTACTTATAATGTGATCATCTATGGGCTGTGTCGAGAAGGGAGGATGAAGGAGATGACTGTGGTTTTTGAGGAGATGAGGTGCAAGGGTTTTGTTCCAGATGAGGTGACATATAATACGCTTGTGAATGGTTATTGTAAAGTGGGTGATTTTCACCAAGCACTTGTTTTGCATGCGGAAATGGTGAGGAATGGTGTATCTCCAAATGTTGTGACTTATACTTCATTGATAAATAGTATGTGTAAGGCAAGAAACTTGCATCGAGCAATGGAATTCTTTGAGCAGATACATATTAGGGGATTACATCCAAATGAGAGAACTTATACGACATTGATTGACGGCTTCTCGCAGCAGGGTTTTATGGATGAAGCTTATCGAGTTTTGAATGAAATGACTCAGAGTGGCTTCGCACCTTCCATTGTGACTTACAATGCTCTAATCAATGGACACTGTCTATTGGGTGGGATGGAAGATGCTTTAGGAGTGATTCGTGATATGGTGGGTAAAGGGGTAGTCCCAGATGTTGTAAGTTATACTACAATTATATCTGGGTTTTGTAGAAATCAAGATTTGGATAAAGCATTTGGAATGAAGCAGGAGATGGTCGAGAAGGGAGTTTCACCAGATGTTGTTACTTATTCATCGCTGATTCAAGGTCTTTGCGAACAGAGGAGACTGGATGAAGCTTGTGATCTTTTCCAAGAGATGTGGAGAGTGGGTTTGCCACCTGATAAATGTACATATACTACCCTAATGAATGGTTATTGTGTAGAAGGGGATATTAATAGTGCTCTCCACCTGCATGATGAAATGATGAATAATGGTTTCTTTCCCGATGTTGTTACCTATAGTGTGCTAATCAATGGGCTTAGCAAACAAGCTCGGACTAGGGAGGCAAAGCAGCTCCTAATGAAACTGTTTTACGAGGAATCTGTCCCTAATGATGTCACTTATGATACACTCATAGAAAATTGTAGGAATGTCGAATTCAAGAGTGTTGTAGCTCTCATGAAGGGATTCTGTATGAAAGGTTTGATGAATGAAGCAGATCGAGTTTTTGAGTCAATGCTTCAGAGAAACCACAAGCCTAGCGAAGCAGCTTATAATGTCATTATCCACGGTCATTCCAGGGGTGGGAATTTGCACAAAGCTTTTAAACTCTACAAAGAAATGTTGCATCATGAATTTGTCCCCCATACTGTCACTGTTATTGCTCTGATTAAGGAGCTTTTCAAAGAAGGGATGAGTGAGGAGGTGGGTGAAGTTATTCGTTATATATTGAAAAGCTGTAGGCTTACTGATGCTGAGGTTGCGAAAGCCCTTGTTGAGATCAACTACAAAGAAGGGAACATGGATGCAGTATTTAATGTTCTTACTGACATGGCAAAGGATGGTCTTCTCCCAAATACTGGGAAAACTGCCTATGCTAGGGGATAACTATGCCATGGATCACTTGTGTTTGTTATCAAGGATTGTGTGGCTTATTCTCTAGCTGAAATAAAAGTGCACACAATGAAGCAAGTCGGTGAAGTCCACTGTTCCTTTGTTGTTTTATTGGTCATGTTTCTCTAGTTCTTCAAGGAACTGTGGGGAACCCCAATTTCCTGAACAGGTTCATTTCCCTCAATGTTCTGCCGGAATTCTTCTCAATGCCTCTCTTGTATGTCTCAAATGGAAAATGTAAGTTGTAGTAAGCACAATACATGCTAAAGTAGTATATGATTTTTAGTTTTATGTATTTAGGTCCTCAATTGCTTCCACGCAAATTGCTTTTCTATTGCATATTTACCCTTGAAAAGTATCTGTTCAAGTTCAAGCTTTTTATGGAATCTTGTTTTCGTTTTAAACATTATTTTGCGCTCATGTTCCACATCAAGGTCACCGTTATTAAAGGCTAAATAATGTATGTGCTCCATTATATCAAATTATTCTTTTTGTTTGTTTGTTTTTCATCCCCTTGATTAAAGGTTCCTTTTCTTCAAAGACAAGTGCACTCTGTCTTCTGCCACTCTCTGTGTGTTGCTAAATACAATTCTTGCTGTTATGGGACCTGTATCTACTCAGCTGTTATGCTGGGATATAATGCGGCTTTTTTGTCTCAGTTAGATATTAGAATTTTGTTTTCTTGTGAATTTCACCATTCAAAACTCTATTTTAATTCACGTTTGCACTGTTCTGTTTTGGGTTTTGCAGGGAAAGTATGGCCAAGCAATGCAGTGAAGAAAAGCTGTGGAACACTTCCCCCGCAACAATTTGAACTCTAGGTCAACGATCTTCTACACATAAAGGTAAAAGATTGAAAAGACAGCCTCGATTTTCCATTTTATTTGTGTTTTTTTTTCTTTTTTTTTTTGCCATCCCGGTCCTCAAAACTGCTTAGGTATGAAGTAGTTGCCTACATAATTATGTCCCTCAACCGGAAGATGGAAAAGTAATTGTGTTCTTCCTATCATCTCTCCCGCTTTCTTGTTTTGTAGTTTGAAAATATATATGCTGGTGATCTAGGATTATAATGATGATAGATTTTGAAATAATTCAAACTTACTTTTTGCAGGAATGCTTGCTTCAATAAGTGACGAGAACATATTCTAGCTTCTTGTCTGAGGATTCTTTACTTTCCATGTCAATTTCTTCCTTTTCTGGCTTCTTGGTTCCAATGTTTTGAATGTCCAACTTATTCTTACCTTGTTATGATTGAAGTTATTCCTCCAGTGATAGCAGTTTTACTGTTACAAATCACCTCTGTCCTACTCCTACCCATTTGGGGATTGCCAAATATATCGACAAAGTCATCTTTTGGCTCCGATGTTGTTGTTCTCTCTGAGGGTGGTGTGGATGCATATGGAATTCCAATTTCTGCCTGTCAGCATTCGATTGTTTGCTGAAACCCCCTTGTGGCATAGAGTGGTATCGGCCATTGGAGACGAAAGATCTGCTGTAATGTAACGATATGCAGTTTGAAAATATCTTTCGAGTTACAAAAAATGTTATGTAACCCCCTTTTTTCACATCTATTATGCAATGTTGGGGCTTATCTCCATTCTATATAAAAAAAAAAAAAAGAAGAAGAAGAGAGATTGATAATTGTCTTTAAACTTTTGTTTAGTTTAGTTGCTTTTTCAATCCCTTCCTTCACACCAGTTTACTATTCTTAAAGTATGAGCAAACATATAGCTTCCGTAACAAGGGAAGTACTCCTCGAGGAAAGTGTGGTTAACGGATAATGAGAAGATGACCGTGAGATAGTGAAAGTCCAGGTATATAAAGTTGTTTCTCAATCTGTTTACTATGGGTTATGATTGACAACAAATCTTATTTTGTCATGTAAAAAGTATAGTATATCAAAATTCTCCCCTTTTTCTCTAGAGCGCCAATGATGGGAGCTACTCATTCCAGCAAAAGTGTACGGAAGAAAAGAAAACAAAAATGGCACATTCGCTGGTTTTATGTTACCAAGAGACAAACCCACGAGCTAACAATTGTTCAAAAACTCGGAAAAGCTAGAATACAGGGGCATGTTTAGTTTGTATTTTAAAAAACAGAATTCGAAAATAGTTTTTGATAAGAGTTTTAAAAAAGTTATTTTGATGTTTTTCTGAGATGAAAAATTTATTTGCTTAGATGATTCTAAAAAAAATTTCACAAAATAAAAAACAAAAAACCTGTTTGGATTGAGAGTTTCATATAAAATATTTTAATATATTAAACTTGATAAAATACAAAAAAAAAAATACCAATCTCTATTGAAGTAACGATCATCTCTTATCTCTCTCAAAATTTTCAAATGGCCAAATTACATAAGAAACGGTGTCTACAACAAATTGAAGAAGAAGATGTTGTATATATTTCAAGCCAAATGCAAAAAAAAAAAAAAAATTGAGGAAAAAGATGTTAAAACCAGATCTTAAACCCAAATGCACAAAAAAAAAAAAAAGATCTTGAACCCAGTGATTGTTTAAACCAAATCTTGACCCAGTAATCGTTACTCTGTTGAAGCAGAGATTGTTACTTTGGTCTTCGTTACTCGGCTGAAGAAGCACGGCGATCGTTGCACAAAGAGAGAGAGAGAGAGAGAGAGAGAGAGAGGGAGAAAACATTCTTTGTTAGTCAGTTGGAGCAAAACAACAAGAGAGAGAGAGGAGATGGAGAAAACATAAGTGGAGGCTTTTATACTTTGATGAAAAAAATGTGTTTTACTGTTAATGAGGTTTGATGGTAGATCTCATTAAAGAGTAGAGGTTGTTTCCCTTGTTTTCGATTTCATCCTGAAAACTCAGAAAACATCTAAATGATGTTCTCAATTCCCACTTTTTTTGAAAATTATTATCCAAACAGCATCTCACAAAATTTTGTGTTTTGAGAATAAAACATTATTTTTAAAACACAAACCAAACACACCCTAGGTTTTTCTCTATTCATCGATTAGTTTCACTTTGTTGTAGTAGATGAAGTTTTTTAGATATTCCTTTTGTCTTTCTTTATGCATGCGGAATTTTCTTCTTTTATTCAATTATCACGGTGCATCAAATTTGACTCGTTATATGAAATCACTAGACAAAAGAAATGACAGAAATAAAAAATTTTGCTGATATTAAAGCGTCATGGCCACATTATTGATAAATGTTGGGCACGTTCTCAATCCAATGTTTCTGCCACGTCTACTCCTCCACTTTTGGATCAGTCCAAAACAATTAGACTTGTATTGTAGAGGCCCATTTGACTACGTACCAAACCTCTTAGAGGTCAAAATGTAATTTACCTCTTCTTTTTTTTATTTGAAATCAGATGTAAAATTTGGAGACGACCGCTTTCACAAGCGGTTAACCAAACTCTAAAGAACGGAGACGGACTCGGGTGGGCAAGAAAGAATGGTCTTCCTTCCGGTGTCTCACACACTCATACCCGGTTGAGAAAGAAAAAAAAAAGAAGAAGAAGAGAAGGTTAGTAATTCTGTGATTAGGGTTTCCATAAGAACAGGACCGTTCGTCAATTCGCCATCATTCAGAGAATAATTTTATGCTCATCGAAGCGAAAAGTTGAATTCTCGCGATTGTGATCTCGATCTTCATTATTGCTGCAATTAAAGATTGGGTATTTCGCTTGTATTCACAAAGATTTTAATTTTCAGCTTCAGCTATGACTGAGGTATCTCTCTCTTTCTCTCACATTATCATTATTATCGTAATTTCGTTTTTCTGTTGAAAGCTTGAATATTCAACTGATAATTGCATGTTTTATTCATACAAGAATAGCATAGACCATATCTTTTTGTGATTTTCTGAATTGGCGCATGGAATCGGTTATGTTCGTAGCTGCTAGTATATGTGTATTCATATCTTGTTCATCGGCCTCAGGCGCTAGTACTTTCTGGAAACAAAAAAAAGCAAAGTGCTGATTTCAACTATATTGCTTGGCGAAGAAGAATGAAAAGTTTTGGATGTGTGTTCTAAGAGCAACTTTGTAACTAACTATATTCTTTTGAAAGATATGGTAATTTAAAGTTTACAATTTTTTAAACTTTTTTGAAGCTGAATATGATTTTTTTTTCTTCTTTTTAATAGTGTTATGAATAATGATATGAATTATGATCCTCCACGTACCACTTGTTCAAACAATCTCGGATTGTGTTACTGTATTGGTCTGATTTTCTTGATGAGTGTGAACAGTTTTATTTCGTATTTCTGATGACATCTTTTTCTGTTTTTTTCTTTTGCTTCTGCGTTATCACTCATGCTTCTTTAGAATTTGTGTAGTTTTACAATTTGCTAGCTACTTTTTTTTTCCTTACTAATTTTCAAGGTTAGCTGCATAAAATTTTGTTTTAGATGTCTTTTCAATCTGTTTCACCTGATTCGAATTTTCTTGCCCATTTGAATCCCATTTCTCTGTATTTCCTTTAATGTGATTGTATTTATCTTGAAAATTACCTCGTTTATCACTTACCTGTCCCAACATACACAATCATTATGCTAAAATTCAGTCAACATCGTAGTATTTTTTGATCTATTATCTAATTGGCTAATATTTTTTTTCCTTTTCCAGTATTGGGTCAGTCAAGGTAACAAATGGTGCGACTTCTGCAAAATCTTCATTTCCAACAATCCTCTCAGCATTAGAAATCATGAGCTTGGCCAGCGTCACAAGGATAATGTTGCTAAGAGGCTTACTAATATGAGACAAGAGAAAGCTGCAAAGGAGAAAGAAGAGAAAGAAGCAGCTCGTGCCCTTGAACAAATTGAAGCAGTGAGTACTAAATTCAATTTAAAAACACCTTTCCTTCTGCCTCTAGGTAGAATCTACAATTTTTTTTTAGTGTTGGTGATACGAGTGACAATGTTTCGAGTTTTATTTAAGATGTTAAGGGCTGAACCAAGAGGGAGTAAGAGGCGAGTAAAAAGTTTAAAGCAAAGCAACAGGGTTTAGCCTTGTAAAGCAATGGATTTTAGCTCGTAGACCTTTGGTTCAGCTGCTCTTAGTTAAAACTTCTGGTAGAATTGTATAGGAGCATCAATTTAACAAATCATAGACCACCAAGACAGGAATTGAGATCCATAACTAATTGGCAGTCTACTTAGTTTGGTTTGATTGACCACATTGTTTTAGTTTTTTGTAGTTGTACTGGCAGTATGATGAATGCGATACGAACCTAACACAAAATTAGCAAGTTGATTAGTAAATAGGTTGGGTTTGTATCAAACATGTGTAACCCGATTTTTACACAAATAACCCGTTTAAATAAATGTGTTGGCATATTAACATGAACCCAAACACTACACGCATACAACTCGTTCAATAAGGGTATAAAATTAACCAATTTGAAAGTAGGAATGAAATTTGTTTTCCATCAGACTTAGAGTCTCAGGTATATTAATCGGTCAACTATAACTTACGATTTCTTATGTTTTCATTCCAACTGTCTCCCAGAAAGCCAACCGTAGCTATCAGAAGGATGTAGCAACTTTTCGGGAGGCTAGAGATAGTAATAGCCAAGGACCTGAAATACCTGGAGGTAATGATCTTGTTGCTCTACTATCTTACATACTCGGTTCAAAATGTTTTTTTTTTCTTTCTCAAACTTAGCCTGCATTGTTATAACTGGGAGCAATGTATAAGGAAATATTAGGAGAATCTACTTTTTGAAAGACGTTGGGATCCTGTTATATTTTTTAGTAGGTATGGTGCAAAAGGCTTACTTCTGAAGTTGGAAATTGTAAATAATTGATGTCAGTTTTGCACCAATGGGTCTTTGGTCTAATAGTACTCTTTGTCTTGTAAAGGTTTTGCAGGTTCAAGTCCCCTTCTCTCTTCCCCTTCACCCTCCCAAAAAAAAAATAGATGTCAGCTTTGTAAGCTGCTTAATGCTTTTGTATGGGCATAGAGCCGCAGTCAGAGTTGGTTGTTAACAAGTCCATCTTTTAAAAGTTCTTTAGAGAACCTGTCGCAATCAGTGAGCTGGCATTAACTTCTGTTTTAAACTTATGCTTGGCAACCCGAGCTTGAGCAATTCAAGGCTCGGTGTGTTTAGCCTCTTGAGAGTATGAGTGAGGATCATCTGGCTGCGTTAGCAAAAACCGCTGAGAAATTCACTAGACAGATGACTGGGATGCTGAAAAGGAAAATTAAATGTAATTCAAAGCAAGTGAGAAATGATGATGATTGATAGGATTTTGGAGTATGTTCGAGGGAATGACGTGCTTTTGAAAGCATTAGTGTGGGGTCCTAGCTTAGGAATTTATTGGAGGTAGACAATGTTATAGGCTGGATATTTTACTAGAATATGTAGGAAGTGAAGGTAGACTGGGCTAGTTGTGATCGGCTCTGTGGGTAATGCTTGGATTCTAGTAAAGTTCAATCAACCTCACTTTCTCCGCTACAGCCCTAGGTAATGGCTAAAGTCAACTGGTTATCAGTAGTTGGAGTGGTAGCTGTCATACATGGATGTCATGAAATATCTGAAAACCAGCGAGTCCACAAAGTGGTGTCTAGTCATGGCTAGAAAATATCCACACATGTTCTGGAAATATGTTTCATGATTTTGAGTTCAATGC